TTACTCTGAAGCCAGAACTTCCAAGGAAATGTGCTACTAGATGTACAGCTAATGATCTTAAAAATTCTGTGAAAGAGGACGAGCAGAATAAAAGTGTGTTAAATGCCCTACTTTCACCCATAAAAGCCACCTTTTACTTACTTTTATGAGGTATTGTATTTGGAAAGGAGGATTTAAATCGTGAAAGCTGGGTTTCAAACTGTATATATTTTTACACTTATACTGTACTGTACAGTGTACATTTTCTACTACTACTACCCACACTAACCCTTTCATCAAACCCTTTGACCGGAGATTGAGAGAATCAAAATAACATCCATGTCTAAAAATAAATAGTAAGTATAAACTTTCCTGTTAAAGGGAACATTATCGATTATTTATTTTCGATACATCAATATTTTATTTTTTTATTCGATATATCAGGCGTAGCTTCAAAACGAATAACAGTCATAATTTAGATAATGTAATCAATCACTCCACTCCAGTTATCGAAACTTAAATCTATCTATCTATCTATATATTAATAGGCAAGCCTGTTTCTTTAAAACCTTTTTTCTCAGCTTGTGTGCATCGCAGGGAAAATCTACGCATACCGTTAGAAGGATATTTTCCTGTAGAAGTGCAGAATTCCTTTAAAAATTCAAATAGGCTCAAGTATAAGCACAAAAAATCAATTTGAAATTTTTAAAAATTAACATGGGCTTCATGGGTTGCTATGCTGGTGACGAAATAACAAAGAAATATTAACAGAAAATCAAAACAAATTATCACATGTATTATTACAGGGTGGGGTGAAAATAGAGAAGCCTGTACCTTTACATTCCATCCAAATGTTAAAGTTGTGACCAGTTTTTTAATTAAATTCATCGTAGTTGATGTGATCCACCAACAGACTGCACTGATCTATATGAATAATTTCTGTTTAATACACAATGTTTTTTTACAACTCAAACTTTTTGCATGACTTATTATGAGCTTCGTTAAGACCCATCAACTTTGTCAGTAACAAAAAATAAGGTAGGCTGGTCCATATAGATGGGATGTCTACTTCAGTCTCCAATAGTTAATACATGTACATTACATGTTTTTGGTCGAATTTTCGACCACTGGACGACCACTAGTCTATCTATTTACTTATTTAATACGCAAGCAGGATTTTTGTGACAATTACTCCTCTGAAACTACTGAACCGATCGACATGTTTTTGGTGTCATTGGAAATAGCGTAACGTGAAGTTGTGCAGGAAACTTTCTTTATAGGGAAATAATTAGAGAGCGAGGCCCTGGGGCCCTTTAAAGTTTTGTATTTTTCCATAAGATTAACATGGGAAACAAAATGTGTTATGGAACTCCAGCTGTTGTCAGAAATTAAAAGTGAAATATTTATTGATGGTATCCATGGTAACAAAGAACAAACCCACACAATTTAAAAATGTAATCAAACAGAACTAACTGTCAAATTAATTTTGATTTCACAATTCCACACAGCTGGTCCAAACATATTAAATACTGCATGATTATTAGAACAGGAACGGTATGGATCATAAACATAAATAAAATGTGTCACTCGCCCATTTAAAATTGATTAAATGGAACTATTAATGTTAATGTCATTAGTATGGGATTCTTTCATATGGTAATTATACCATTCGGTAATTTGTTGAACGAGTCTGTTCCAATATTTTTGAGCTGCTGTAATAATATTTTACAGGAAATAATTGTTAGATAAATTCATGGATATAAGTAATAATTCGGATTCTTCAATCATTGCTGTTATTAAAATTGTGTATCCGCAGCAAACCTTAAGACTAAGCGAATTCCCATTTACCTGGCTTAATTTCTACAAAGATATTCCCTGAAAATGGTAATGTTTTTCCTATTTAAAGCTTAAGAGTTAATTTTAATATGATTACTTAGGTTTGCTGCTACAGGGAAGGTAGGTGTGATTTTGTTGAAATGTTGATAGCTTAATATGATTGTTATTGGTTTACAAATCCTGTAATACTTTACAATTATTGCTCGAATTCGAGCAACATGTACACTAGTACTTATTTAATACGCAAGCAGGATTTTTGTGACAATTACTCCTCCGAAACTACTGAACCGATTGACACGTTTTTGGTGTCATTGGAAAGAGCGTAACACGAAGTTGTGCAGGAAACTTTATTTTTAGGGAAATAATTAGAGAGTGAGGCCCTGGGGCCTTTTAAAGTTTCGTATTTCTCCATAAGAATAACATGGGAAACAAACATTGTTTTGAAACTCCAGCTGTTGTCAGAAATTAAATATTAATTGGTCTCCATAGAAGCATGAGAAAATTCACAATATTTACATTTGCTTTGACATTTAAAAGTAAACAACTAGAACTGTCAAATGCCTATTTCACAATTTCAGACAGCTGATCCAAAAAAATAAAACAACTATGTGGTAGGTTTATTTAATCTTAAACTTGATGATAGATTATTTATTATGAATCTATTTCAATGATTATGAAACAGATTTTGCCGTTGCGAAGCAAAAATTAAAAGTGAGAAGAAGAGCATGTTAATTGTAAACAGTGATGTGTAAATAATTATCTATGTTGTATTATAAATGTGTATAGTTTTGGATGATGGTTTGTGTTTAATGATATAAGTTACTGTATTAATTATTGAATTTTTATTTTAAGAATTTGGCATATGAGTTTGCCTATGATAAATAACACAATTTTAGAGCTCTGCCAGTTTTTGCCTAACTCTGTTCTGTAGAGTTTAAAGTAGCCTACACCTTATTGTCTACAAATTGGCTAAATAATTTAGGTACGGTACATTATAAAAGCTGACAGCTTTTTTATGTTGACTTAAATTGTAAGCCTACCTTTTCCCGTCCATGAGCAGTTTGATAGTTAAAAAAATAACCCTTTAAACTGGAATAGGACTGGTATGTAAATTGTGAGTATTTCCATCAGTTAATAATCTTTTAGTCGTCTCTTTTAAAATCATCGGAAATTATGACTGTTATTATTAGTTTTTAAACAAGTCATTTGTTTATAAATAACTCCTGTACTTCTTTGCAATTGATCGATTTCGAGCAACATGTACACTAGTACTTATTTGATACGCAAGCAGGTTTTTTGTGACAATTACTCCTCCAAAACTACTGAACCGATTGACATGTTTTTGGGGTCATTGGAAAGAGCGTAAGGTGAAGTTGTGCAGGAAACTTTCTTTTTAGGAAAATAATTAGAGAGTGGGGCCTGGGGGCCCTTTAAAGTTTCGTATTTCTCCATAAGAGTAACATGGGAAACAAACATTGTTGTGAAACTCCAGCTGTTGTCAGAAATGCTGTAATTTGTTTACAAGGAGAATTGTTTCTTGGTGCCATGTGGTCAATGAATTATACTTATGCATATATTTTAAATGCTATAAACTATATAAAATATAGTACTGTAATACATTAAGATATCTTAATTTAAATAATCAATAAGCAGGATTCAGCCTTTGCCTATATGTTTCCTGGTAAGTGTGTTGTAACTGTTTCTCTTAGTATATTATAGTATCTTAAAGTAAAACCGAATTATTCTGTTCTGCATTCTCACCCCGTAGTGAAGCACGAGCAAAGCAACTAGTTTAGATAATGTAATCAATCACTCCACTCCAGTTATCGAAACTTAAAACGAGCTCACTCTGAAAACAAATTCCCTTGTGTGTCATGTGTTTACTATTTCGATCATTTCACCCAGTTCATCATTAGTCTCATAATTTTGTCTAAGTCGATGAAGGTCACGTAATAATCTTCGTCTTCTACGGTATGATCAAAACTTTCTCTTGCTGCTCGTGACATTTTATTTAACCACGGAAAATATGATTGAATTCTGATATATATTTGTATCTAACCCAATACTGTACTTGCAAACCATGTGTTGTTTGTTTATATTCAACTGACAACATGTACACATGATGCAAAATATCTTGATACTTAACTTGACAGATTCCACTACTGATTTATTAAACAGCTGGGTTAGTAAACTTTCTTCATAATAAAATACATTTGGATTTTGATGGCCTGTAAGGAAAAGCCCAAGGACTTTTATTACAGGAATTGGTGAAAGGGGTCGTTTACAAAAAAATACTTAATTTTGACACATTCTTTGTAAAAATCCGTCCATTATTAACAGAGGAGTAGTGTTTCATAGAAATCGCCTTCACGTATTATATAAAGATTCCAATAAGTTCTAGGGGAATCAGCAAGGTTAACCAGTTCATTTGTAAATTTTAGAATTATATTATTAACAACTATTCTATTCGTATTACATTTTCCATTACAATTTTAAAATCTTGAGGAACTTTAATGATCTTCAATAATCTATTATTGTGTAACCATTTGAAATTGGTTTTTCATGACTTAAAGATGTTCAAGACTTTTTTCAAGACTAGATTTTCAACTTTTTCAAGACTTCTTTAACACTATCTGTGTTTCAGCAACAAACGTAATGATACTAATTGATACTTCATTACTTTAAATTTAAATTGCGACTATACGAAAGTAGATATTTTAAGCCAAGTATAAATGGAGATGAGTGTAGGATGAGTGGCTCGATCTTGCAGTCTTGTTACCGACATGTTCCTTAGATATAATATTAACATAATTGCCAATAGCAACACGGTGGCGTAGTAGCTATGAGTTCTTTTATAGAAAAATACTGTTATCACCAACAAAATTCAAAGCTTATTATTGTACTTAGCTCTAATTCAACTTCAGTTCTCAACACCATGGTAAACTAAATTATTTAACATGTAACGAATGATATGTAGTTTATTAGCAATCTTAAACATCGATATTTCCGTCCGACATATATTCCAGCCAAAACAGCAGGATTATAAAGTATATTGTTTACAGCTTTTAACATGAAAACCACTCGTCAACTCGGACTGCGTCTTAAAATAAAATACGCTAGAGATCAGCATCTAGTCGGTTAGCTGTATTGCTGCTTGGTCTGCTATGGTTAACTGTGCTAAAAATACCCCCCTAGTTCCAGCCCCCCCCCACAGGACTGATACTCCACAAACTATCCAGACGTAGTGACAGCGCCCCCCTAGAAACTTCAACATGGTAAGGCCAACTAGTTATTTACCATAACAATGTCTTTTAAACTAAAAACCGTTAATTTGTTCATATTTTGGGCTTGTTATATGGGTCCCTTCAAACATTTACATGACATGGAAAACCCCTTAAAGTGAATTAAACGTACCTAATGAATCAATTGGTTAATTGTTACTACAAAGACACTTTTTTGAGTCTATTTTAAACTAAAATTTAACTTTAACTGTGTCAAAATGTCCAAAATTTTTTTCTAGAAAATCCGGTAAAAAGTTTGGTTGGGTTGCAATGCTGATAAATGGGTTTGTTGAAATGGTTTGTGTTCTCCATGCTTAATTAATGGTATATTATTACTCGGTTTTATTAGCCAAAAACAGTATGAGCACCTTTCAACTGCGCTCTTTTCTTCATAATGTAGACATTGTGAAACTGTTGTTAGCTTTATTGTGTATACAAATGTTAATGTATTTGTTTTAGCGAATTTACCATATAGGGAATAATCTATTAAAAGGATATACCCAAAACAGATATATCCACTCAAAACTCACACTCCAACATGTTGACAAAAAATACTTTCTCCATATACTATGTATAGGGGGAGAAAGTAAAACAGTATTTTTGAAATCCCATATTATTCTTAAGGAGAAAATGAAAACTGTTTGAAGTTTACTTTTTAATGAATATGTTGCTCAAATTTGGCAAATGTATTTATTTTTTCCTATGCTATTGACATTTGGTCAAAACACTTTTTTTTCCTTTTCCGAATATTTAGCACTGTTAATTACTCACACGCTGTGAAGCATTGTTTATGGAAAGTAAATAAAAGAAACGTCTTAGTATAACACTTAAAACATATATTTACACTTATACTGTTATTCACAAGACGGTAAATATACAAAACATTCGCCTATTGGGTCTGATGATGATTGGAGTGTCCAATCGAAATCGATCACCACTTACCATCTTTTTTGTATACAGGGTGATTGATATAAGTGTGCCAGCCGTTTTATTCGAAAACCATAAGAGATATAAAAAAAGTTAAATGGTAAGTGCCTTGGACTTTTTATTTAAAAAATTGTAGTAAAGTCGAAAAAATTATTTTAGCCGCCACTTTTCCAATATGGCCGCCAAATTTGATTTTTCTTACGGAACACCCTGTATTTTACTATGTATTCTGGTAGAAAATGTAATTTTAAGACGATTTTATTCTTGTGATTATTTTTATAAACCTAACCGTTTCAAAGATAATAATGGTTTAAGTTGTGAAATTTTGAATGGTTTTCGAATAAAACAGCTGGCATGCTTGCCGTTATCGAAACTCTTTCTCATGCAGAAATTCCAAAACTTTAAACATTATTATCTTAGATACGGTTAGGTTTATGAAAAAAAATCACCAAAATTACATTTTCTACCAGAATACATAATAAAATACAGGGTATTCCATAAGAAAAAACAAAGTTGGCGACCATATTGGAAAGATGGCGGCTAAAATAATTTTTTCGACTTGACTACAATTTTTTAAATAAAAAATCCAAGGCACTTACCATTTAACTTTTTTTTATATCTCTTATAGTTTTCGAATAAAACGGCTGGCACACTTATATCAATCACCCTGTATTTACCGTCTTGTGAATAACAGTATAAGCGTAAATATATGTTTTAAGTGTTAAAAGACTTTTCTTTTATTTACTTTCCGTAAATTTAATAACACGTACAATGCTGATCAAGAAGGCATTGTTTATGGCATAAATTTAACAAATTTATATTCTTTCAAATTTTTTGGGTGCAGGAAACTACTCTAATCTAAGTGTTTATCTTTAAATTGGGTTACAACTGTTACAAGAACCTGCAAAATATTGATCGTATTATAGATTTCCAAAATAAATGTTTGAAAGTTCGGAAGATCTGAGCCTGGATTGAGTTTCAGCATTTCATTGTAATAACACTATAAACTGTACTTATATAATATTCACAGTTCGCTACACTACTGTGAAATGACATGTTTTCGTTGCATGTTTATCAGCTACAAAAATCTAATCATTACATTGTTTACTACGGCATAAGAATGTTTACTATGCAAAAGAAATGTTTACTATATTTTTTTTAGTCTCCGACGTAAACAAACAAATATTTGTTATTGTTTTATCAACTGTTTCAATTTTCAACAACTAAACATTGAATTTAAATTGAAGTCATAACAACAACAAAAATCGATGAGCTTTGTAATGCATAGGCTAATCATAATTATTCTTTTTAGTATATCGAAAAGTAACGTTCAAAACACGAGTCAAAGTGGGTCTATGCATATGATCGACCATTTAAAGTGCTCGATAAATTTCACACTTCAAACATGGTCTCAAATATGTAATGACTCGTTTTATACTCTTGTTATGAAATATACTATTACATCATACTAAACAGAAACAGGTACTTGTCCATCCATTGATAGGCTGGAACGTTGCCCTTTACCATGCCTACACACGGAAAAGTAACGTAATGTACTTTTACCGTGCACTTATACTTACTTACTTTTACCGTCAGCTGATGAAATAAACAGATAATTGCAACGGCTAGTAAAACAGTTAATAAACAGCTAATTGCAACGGCTAGTAAAACAGTTAATAAACAGCTAATTGCAACGGCTAGTAAAACAGTTAATAAACAGCTAAGTAAAACACCACTTATCGAACTAGTAACGTAATATACTAATACATTATTGGGATAAACTAGGTCTATTGTTTATTGTATTTTTATTTTGTTTTGTAACTTGATCTACAGTCATAGTTTACCACAGACGGGGTGACGACCCGATAGTTATTTCTGGAAATGGGAGAATGCCCAGTTGGTTTCCGCCATTACTCATTTCCTTCAGTTCACGGACACTCTTTAAACACTTTTGAAAGTTGTTTGCGGTGATATGTAAAAAACTTAAATAACAGTCTTTTTGGATGCTAAAATATTTAAAAATTACAATGCCATCGCCCATACAAAAGGGTGATGTTGTTGTACCTTTCGTTGATATACTTACTTAAAATTGAATGAGGAGTGTTAAATCAGAAAACGTTTTCCGAGAGAAACATTTCCATCCCTACAGTTCTAAACTTATTTGTAAATCTAATACTTCTCATGCCTAACAGAATTGATGTCAATGATTGGTAGTATTGCAAGAAGACATCTTGTGCAATTAAAAAATATGAAACAAACTTCCATGTGTTTCATGTCCAAACTCTGCTCTGCCGAGTGTGCTGAGTGTCTACTAATGTTTCCAAACTATTGTTTTTCGTTGATAAAAAATGTAATATAATAATGGTATATAGATGGAACGTATACCGTACTTCAGTGTTCAAAGTGAATGATATAACTGACAATACAATTTTGGTATGAATTATTATCAATCATATAATTGGTTTTACACTGTTATTAATATCAATCTTCATATGTTATAGGATGATCTACCACCTGAGCAAATCTCTGGTAAGTTGGGGTCCAAAATGTTCTTTTAAAGTATACAATTCAAGTAACCCTAATAAGCATTACGCTGTATAGTGTGTGCAAGTAACAAAATAAAACTGTTATTTTGTTGTTATTTGCTTTCTTTTGCAGATGAGGCTTAAAATGTAACAACTAGTGCTTTGGAGTCTAAAAAAAATATGTTTAGCCTACATGCAACTTTATGAAATTGCGCTTGATAATGAAAAGATTAGATTAATAAGTGTAAATACAAAAATACTGATTGTTATTGATTTAAAAAAAAAGAGTGAAGAATATGATAATTTGGGTTTATAGTAGATTTACACAATGCTACTAGACACTGAAACATACATGATTATTTTAGTTTGAATAGTATGAAATTTTAAGTTTAGCAATTTATTAAGAATTAAACAAAATAAACGCTACAAAGTGGTGGTTTTTTTTTGTAGTTATGCTAATACTGAAAGTATGACATTTTCTGACTTAGCCAATACATTAGTGTAAATCTGGCCAAATGAATAACTTATGGCTTATGGAACCGATCAAAATTCACAAATAATAATGTCGGTATTATTAAAGGTGGCTGGTTGCACAGTACAGTGTCTGATTTATTTGTTTCTTGTTAGTGATTTAGTGAATTACTGTTATGCAGTATGAGACGATGCAATTATGAGATATGAGACTATTAACTATTTGCAAGCACACAGCGTATAATTATTCTGTAATAATTTAGGAGTAAATAAATACAATAATTACTAAAACTTACTGTTTTTTTTTTGTACTTTTGGATATTACAAGTATGGATTTCACTATCACAAGTACATACAGTAAAACTTCCATTTATTTATGTACATGACGTAAGTAACCTCGTTTAATCACCTTATCAATTAAACAATTTTTTAACCACTAGACCTATGGAACTGAGCAAAAACGGTTAACAGGATAGACAGATGACAGAAATCCCTGTATTTATTACTACAGTTTGAATAAAAAATATAATGAATTTTTAAGAAGATGACAAAGTGTAGATGTCAATAACACACAGTAGCACTTTTTATGCATGTTTATTTATATACTATATCATATCATTAAAATACTGCGGTATAAAAGCACAGTAGAAATAGGGACATAGAGATTTTGAAGATTGCCGAAAAAGAGATTGATGGTTAAAAGAGCGAGAACTAATCAAGGTTTCCATGTATCCAATCAACTATCTTTTTTTTAATTGTGGTGTAGTTTGTTTAGACAACTATTCCTAGTAAAGAGTTCTGTGTCTATATTGCTAGTTGCTGGAGTCTAGCGTTGTCAAAAATAGACTTGGGACTTTCCTTCCCCCCTCCATGTTGCATGTTAAACAGTTTCATATGCTCGAAATATGAAAATCACTAGATATATGGTATTTAGCAACTGACTATACAATTATAAGAAGTATTGATAATAAACATTTCCTTGTACTTATTGGTTGACAGAGGTTGACAAAGTAAGTCATTTGAAGTTACTTAGGAAAACAACTATCAACTATATTACAAATAGCACTGAATCAATAAAATTTTAATTTTTATTAGCAGCATAGTTTCAATTTAGTCCGTTGGCAATAAATAAATAAATAAATTATAATATAGTGTTATACTTGGATAAATCAACATAGTATTATTGTTTTACAAAATATAACATTTCACTAGTATTCTTAATCAGCTGCTTAGAAATTTAAAATTTGTAATTGTTTTTACTTTGTGTTTCTTTTTTCGTAATTAGCATTTTTGGTGTTTATTGTAAGGGAACAATCTGATCTCCGGTCTTTTTACTATCTAATTTCATTGATAGCCCAATGTCCCGCTCCCAGAGAACACAGAATATAAAAGAATATAAAATTTATATTCTGTGTTCTCTGCCCGCTCCCGCATGGAATCGATCCAGCAAAAAATGCAGCCATCAGGTTTCAGGACAAGCATTATAACCAATTTCGTTACCCAGACAATTTTATAGGGAGAGGCAGAACTTGTGGACAGGATGATGCAGTTTATCAGGTAGCTCAAGTTTGAAAGGCGGTGAAGCACTTGACAGGATGTACCAAAATCTCACAATATGGATGACACCTAAAAACACAATTCACCCTTGCCGAGTCAATCAATCCACCACTCAACCTCTCAACTCTCATAAACTATTAATATGTTTTTTGTCTATGGTTATATACAGGGTGTTTTTATAAAATTCAACTTAAATAATTACATGCACAGAGAGTTACTGGTTGGGTACAAAACAAGCTTATAAGTTGGCAGCCCTGCTTCCTTTACTTCATTATTCATCAGCTGATATGCATTTTTGCATTCTTGCCTACATGTTTATTGGGAATTTTATGAAGACCCAGATAAGGTTTTATTTTAAACATCTGATAAAAATAAACATGGCCTGATAATGCCATCTGATAAAATGCCAATCAAAAATGTCAGAAAATAGGAAAACATTAGAGTCAAAAATATCAGAAACTAGTAACACGTTAGAAACCCTGGAAGCTAATATTGTCGCAAAAATGTCAAATGTAGAATCAAAAATGCTGAACGGATTAGATTAATATTCTAGCAAAGTTGATAGCTTAGAAAGTAGAATGAATGAAATTGATGAGAAATTTAACTGCATGAAAAAGAATCTAGAAGATAGATTAGTAGATAAGCTTAGGCAGGAGATGGCTGCATCGGGGAGCTTCACACCTGCGACCTCGGCTAGCACTGGTGAACTTCTACCGGATAACGCTCCGGAAACAATCTCCAAGCGCCCACTATTGCTGTCGTTGCTCCTCAGAACATAGTTCGAGGGCAAAACCCCCTGGGTGGACTACGTGATTCTCTTTGAGACAGTGGCTATGGTTCGTGGGAGGACCGAAGAAACAAAGGCTTCAACACTGTGTCTTGCACTCTGGGATGATGCATTAGCTGTTCTGCATGCTATGCCGATGGCGGAGCGGAAGAATTTCCAGAACTGGTAAGAAGATTGGACATGCGATTTGGGCATCGACACATGGACCAGCTCTACCCATCACAACTGTGGAACCGGATACAGAAACCTAGCGAGACACTCCTGGAGTTTGAAGCCGACATTGCTCGACCATTTTTTATCGCTTATCTGTCGGTCACGGATGACGTCTACGAGAGCTTGGAGGTGGATAAATTCCTAGACGGACTACGTGAACCTGAGACTCAACAGGCAGTGAAGCCTGCCAGACCGAGGACCCTGAGTGACGCATGACGCACTGACACAAGCGCTGGAGTTTGAGGCTGTGCGACAGTCGGTGAGAGGCCAGGCTCGAGTCCGTGCGGCAGACGCAGAACCTACAACGGCTCCACTAGACATCGAGGACCTGGTAAAGAGAGTTCTGGAGGCACTTAAAACTCGCCACCGGCAGGTACGCTGTTGGAACTGCGGAGAGATGGGGCGTCCCCGGAGTAAACGTCATTTAATCTATTCAGGAACGAAGCAGGAGTATGACTTCGAGTCAATTCATCGTGCTGGGCCGAGACATAAGAAGGCGGATGCACAACACTTCAGCCAGAAGGCAATGCGGAAACAGTTGCAATCATTGTGCGCGCAAGGATGACAAAAGTGCATCGGTTCATCGAGTGACTACCGTTAACGACGAATGGGACAAGAAGAAGCTGGTCAGAGGACCAGAAGGGGGACCCAGACCTAAGACACATTATACAGTGGAAGATGGACGGTTAAGGATGACCATCGTGGTAGGATGTTGCTCCCTTGTTTAAGAACGGGAAGAGGATGGACGAGATTCATTAGAAAGTCCATCGCAACATATCTGGAGCAAGTGACAGGATGAAGGAGAGGTACGACGTGACGGCCGAGGGAGGAGGTTTCACACCTGGAGATCTCGTGTGGCTACACAATCCCCAAAGGCTTCGTGGTTATTCACTCAAACTCCAGAACTCGTGGGAAGGACCCTATGAAGTTATATCCCGTATAAATGACATAATCTACCAGACTAAGAAGCAACCATATGGCAAACCCAAAATATTCCATTTCAACAGACTTGCACCCTACAAAGGAGATTACAGCCAACAAGAGGAACAACAAGTTCGGAACCTGTCTAACGAGCCAAGCGACGTTGTGCCTAAGAGACGTGGAAATGAGGGACTGGGGCTATTATACAAGGACCGCTTCACCTTGCCAGTGCAATATACCTTGGTCCTCTGCGTAGCAGAAGACCTGAGAGCGTCGCTAGCGCCGCAGTCTTCAGGAAAAACATTTGGAGGGACCGAAGATCATGAGCGCCGGAGCCCCATCATTGGCACAACCTGAAGCGAAATAGGCAATGGGGAACCGGAGATATTATCGATCCAGAAGATCGCAAGCCTCTGGGGAATCTGTTTTGGGACAGGACAGTCTTAAGGAGGGGGTAGTGTTACAAATAAGGTCCGTCTTTCGGCACACGCCAGTCTGAGTCTAGTCAAGTCAGAGATCAACGCCAGTCCGAGTCTAGTCAAGTCAGAGATCAGTGCAGCGACCGCACGCCGGTGTGGACCAGTGCCAGTGACTGTGACATTAACAGTAACAGTGACAGTGACAGTCTAGTGACAGTGTTGTGGCAGAAGTAGTGATAAATCCTGTAGAGGTTAGCTGTAAGTAGAAGTATTGTAAATTAGAATAACCTTGTGGTTAATGATGATGTACAATGATTAATAAAATAATATAATTAGTATTTTATAGGATTTATTGTCTGGACAAAAAGTACAAGATCAAAAGAAAGAAAAAGGTAAACAAGAAAAGTAAATATTAGTTAACAATAATTGCTAACATGTGTTTTAAGTTCAAATCAATTGAATACTGACAGATGGTTAGGTACAGCCACATACTCCCCTCCCAGTGACAGCGCAAAGTTTCATGTGAGGTATTTGGAAGAGAACCTCACAACACGTCCCGAGCGGGTTTTTCGTTCATGGACAAGTCCAGAAGGTCCAGGTTGGGCTGAAGGCTGTTGAGTCTTGATGTTTCTAGGTCTCGTTGGTGGTGAGTCTGTTTCAGGTTGTTTCGCCAGTTCATTACCTGACTCCATTGTTTTATCCATCTGAGACTGTGTAGGTTGAAGATGATTTTGAAGAATAAATGCTGGTTTCAGCCGATCAATAGAAACGGTATCTTCACCCCGTGGCAATAATATGTTAAAATACTTGTCACCTCTTGAAACAACTTTGAAAGGCCCTTCGTATGTTGGTTGAAGAGGCTTTCTTATTGCGTCATGACGAATAAAGACATGAGATGAGGTCATGAGATCAGGATGGATGAAAATATATCGTTTATGATGATGGCGAAATGGTACAGGACGAATTGATTCGACATGGTCTTGAAGTCGAGCAAGTAGTTTAGGGATGTCATTCGGCAGCTTGGAGTCTTCAAAGAAATCAACAGGGAGGGTGATTGGTTCTCCGTAGACGAGCTGTGCAGGTGAAACTCCTATTTCTGGTATTATGTTTGAATGAAGTCCAAGCAGAACTGATGGAAGTTTGGAAACCCAGTCTGCTGTTAGTTGTGCTTTGAGAGCCGATTTTAAGGAGCGATGCCACCTTTCAATAGCTCCATTTGCAGCAGGATGGTAAGCTGTAGTTTTTATGTGATTTATGCCAAGCATGGCTGTCAATGATGAAAACAATTCACAATCAAACTGCCTTCCCCTATCAGTAATAATAAAACGAGGAACACCGAAGCGAGATATCCATGAGTGCAAAATAGTGGAAGAAACTTCTTCTGCGGTGATGCATGAGATTGGTATCGCTTCAGTCCATCTTGAAAACCTATCGATGATGGTTAACAGGTACTGATATCCTCTTGAAGGAGGTAAGGGTCCAACAATATCAACATTCAAATGAGAGAATCGTTTTTCGGCAGTAGGGTAGGCACCGAGTTCACTAGAAGTGTGCCGCCATGTTTTACAGCGTTGGCAAGGAATACAAGTTTTGGCCCACAATGAAACATCGCGTTTCAGCGAAGGCCAGCAGAATCTCTCTTGAAGTAGTTTGACTGATGCGGCAATTCCAGGGTGAGATAGATTATGAATGGAGTCATAGAGAGGTCTTCGGTAGGCATGAGGGATGAAAGGTCGTAGAGTTCCAGTCGAAGAATCGCAAATCAATTGAAGTCTGACAGATGGTTAGGTACAGCCACAACCTTGTCATTAGCCAGGTTTAGGCAGGCTTAGTTAGGTAACTGTAATTACTGGTTTTGAAAAATATTAGAGGAAATAAATAGCTTTTATAAAATCACCGAGTTTTTATTGTAAAGAACCTGTATAGCAACAATACAATATATGAACTTTCTATACAACAACAATATTGACAACACTACAATACACAACTATATTGAGCAATATTAACAATTCCAATTGAGAAATTGTTACAATTGATTAGTAACAATATTACAATATTGAGTTTATTTAAAATTAATTCTTAAATCCACTAAGCTGTGCAGACATAAATGTAACAACAATCCACATAATTTGATCAGTGAAGTCAAGGAAGCAGGCTTGCAAAATTATTAAATCGTTTTTGCCTAAATAGTGACAAACAGAGATAGGCCTACTTGTAATTTTAGTTGAGTTTTATAAAAAAAAACGAACACGGTTTCATATAGTGTTATCTAACACTCGTCAAATATACAATTGTTTCAGTGCTGAGAAAAGCGTTTGATGCCTTTGACCGTGAGAGGTCGGGCAGTATACCTACAGACATGGTGGCTGACATTCTTCGACTCATGGGACAACCTTTCAACAAGAAAATCCTCGACGAACTGATTGAAGAAGTAGATGCCGACAGTAAGTATAGGCTTTTTACAGTTTTTCCCCCAGAAAAACAAAATATTTTCATCCAAATTAATTTTAAATTGAAGTAGGTGGTACCGGTATACTATAAACACATTATTTTACAATATTCTACAAAATCAAAACAGTTTTCACTGATGTCAATGAGCTCAAAATTTTAACTAAGCTTTGCTTCAAGAGAGTTAGCTTTTTCGAAATAGGTACTTTGCTATTTTTTAAGAAATATATTTCAGTTTAAAAAGTATAGTCTTACTTTGCCATTAATTTACTCTCTAAATATTCAGTTCTTTAAAAAACTATTCTCCTACTGTTTAATTTTTATCGGCATACATAAGCAGTCTGTTCAATGTTTATATTATGTTTAAAATGTTCTTATTTATTGCACTCTGTAATTTAAGCTTTACGTAGAAACAAAGTACTGTACTATCTGTGGACCCGTCCTAAGCACGGGTGTCAAGTAGTCTGTTAAACCTGTATTTATTAAGCTGATTTACATATTAGTTAGAATTTCTCAAGAGCTACAGTCTAAAAAATCCTTCAGATATTAACCTACATAAAGACAAATTCTGATACTTTTAAATTGAAATAAACGGTATCAGCTATCTGACACATACTTTCTACCATAAGCTTGCCATTGACATTAACCCTTAAAATGCATTGGGAGAAATATTGGTATTTTATGGGTAAAATCAAAAAATTTGCAATACCTCTTAAACCGTAATTTAAAAGTAGTAGTAATTTTAAGGTAGGGTCATTTGTAGATTCTTGAACCTGGTAACCATAAGGTAAACCAATTTAATTAATCATTCTTGAAACTGGGAATAACAGCCTAACACACAAATTACAACAATTGTTAGTATAATCTCCAAAGACAATATTAGGCCCTACCTATCAATCTATTAATCAGCATATGCTATTAATTTCACATAAGTCAACACATGTAATAACACGTGAAACATATATTTAAATTTAAGAGTCAGCAGGAGTCAATAATTTTGCATTGTTGTTGACCGTCAGATGCCAGGCTAAAGAGTGGTTGTCCTAGCGCCGATCATCAAAAGCATGCGTTCACGTTGAAGCATATTAATCATGCACCATAAGCTTAATTACCGAGCAGAAAATTATACGTGATTCTTAAATATATTTTCCTTGGTGAATTGCTTTTGAGATTTTTATAATTTTTGTTTTAGAGGTTGAAAAAATCACAGTTATCTATATAAATAAAATTTGAGTTTTGTCTGTACATTGCTCAGAATTATATATTTTTAGGCTATTTTTACGTTTTATACATTAAAGAAGCAGAAACAAGTCTTATCTATATTTCTGTCTGTCTGTCTGTCTTTTTGTCTGTCTGTAACACTCAAGATGGCATTTTACGCAATCTTCTCCATGAAAACGAGAGTACCTTTCAAGATCCAAGTCATTTTAATGGATTGGCAGAGTGTCTTTAGCCATTAAAATATGGCCTCACTTCTTTGTAAATAAAATTACGGACGTTAAAAAATGACGTTTTGTGCGATTTTTGTCAAATTTTCGTTCAATTTTTATCACATAATCATTTATTTATGAAATAACGAACAGCTGTTCGGATCAAGATTATTTTTTTCTAGCTGCCACTGATATGTTTACAATGTTGTTTACAAATACCGCAACCATTTTCGATCCCGTTTTGAAAGCAAATCCCAACCAAGTGAAATTAAAAACGTTTTTCTTACATAGCGGATTTAATTAATCGCAAGTGCAATATTATAGTGTAACCGTAAATAAAATTAAATAACTAGGCATCATCCAGGTCAGGAACCAGAAAATCTTTGTGTATAAAATTGTTCTTGAGTTTTGATAACCAGAAAGAAGACCTTGAATCAGTGTTGTATAGGGCTGGGATACATAATGATCGTCGTCAATAGCTTACAAACAAGGTTTCCACTCATTGACGGCGCTTCAATGGCGGTTATGTAAAGTGTAAAGTAAAAAATCACAACTGCAGTGGGTGATTGTAACAGAGGTATACGGATGATGCTAAACTCGCTTTTCCAATGTGTCACTTTCTGTTTCTACTCACCGTGTGATGCAATCGCTGGACCATACAGCCAATAGGCCCATAGCCCATCTCTTGGGTACGTACTTTGGGTACGTACGTACGCCTACCTATTTATTCATAACAACCTTTTCGACGACGATCCTTGATACCGGTACTTTTCCATAGAATACATGGCCTACCTACTTAAGAAATAAAATTACAAATGTCCAAAAACCCAACATTGTGTGATTATTGTCACATTCAAATGACTACTATAAGATCCCCGTGCGTAGAACGGGCACACAGCTAGTAGTCAATATATTTATTTAGTTTGACAAAATAATAACAATTAAAATTGAAAAGTGAATAGGAAATCACACCGCAGTTTCAATGGCTTTAATATGAGATATTTTACAACATTTTATCTTAATAAACAATGCCGTAATATGCTTCAACCATTAACATTTCCGTTATGGGCAGAAAATCTAAGATGCCCGGAAGTCCTGCTGACTCTGTTTTAACAAGACAGTGAATCCTATGAAAGGTAAGTAGCATTGATTATACATATTAAATTAGTCAATGGTAGTAGTGTCACGTCATATTTCAATTCTATATTTGTGGTCAGTGCCGGATTTAGGGTAGGCCTACTTGCGGCCCTAGGCCAAATTACTTGAGCGGCCCTCCCCCTATGCTGGAAATTCCTCGCGATCGCGGAAGTAATCGTGAATATCTCCTATGCATCAAGGGGACATCATCATCGACACCCGTGATCGTGGATGAAATCATGTACATCTCCCCTAAACTAAATCAAAGCCATCATAGGTAAGCCTATCCGGGACCGCGGCAAAATCTTTAACATCCCCCGCGGGCAAAGGGACATCATCCTCGACACTCGCGACCATCATATCCCGTGACCTGTGACCTGGAGGACATCATCAACGCCACCCGTGGTGGTGGTGTTTCCACTACCACTTTTATATGTGTCTTGTTAAAACAGTTTTTTCTACCCTAGTAGCATTTTTACTATGAGTCAACGTGAGTATGTTAGCTTTTAGGAGAAACGATCAAAACTCATATTAAGTGTTTAGTGTATGTGATGTAATTGAAGTCCCTCTCGCACCGAGGTCCGCGATGGTAGACACTCGGCTAGCAACACAACCACATTTAGTTTAATTGTAAATACTGTATATGTTTCAAGTGTTATTAGACATATTTTTATTTACTTATTGTTATATCTATGCAGAAGAATAATTCAAAATAAAAATACTTTTTATTGCGTTTAAAATCATGGCATTTTTAAAAAGTTTTTTTTTTATAATTGTTCTCAACTTTTTAGTCTTTAATGTGTAAATTTGTTAAATCTATTTTTCACCACACTGTAATATTACATGTCATTCATTCATCATTAACATTAATAATTATTTATCTATTATTTTGTATATTTTCTCCCATAATGTCTGTTAATGACCCTGATAATGTGTTATCAGCTATTTAATGTTTCTCCTTGTTAATGTGTTATTTTATCCAATTTTGTTCAATGTTATATAATATCCCATCACCCCACAGAAACATCATCCTATTTTATGCGACAATATAATATTTATGCCAATTCTCTCCATACCTATCCTGTACTTATCAAAAACCAACAATAATCATTTACTTAGAATAATATATAATTGTAAGAAAATTGCAATATAGTAATAACATCTTAAATATAGTATTACTTTTCAAAATTATCCAAAGAAAATCAAAATTACTGTGGCAAGTGTCATTTATGTGAATTAACCAGCTGTACATAATTTCAACAATGGACATGGACTTCCTGAGCTTCTACCATTGCCTCTGCCCAGATCCTGCCAACTCTTCACAGTGTGAACATCATTCTATTAGACATTGTGTTTGATTTAAATTAAATTCATAATCCCAAAGTATAACCTAAATTTTAAATTTCTTATCATCCAAAAGTATTGGACAAGTGCCTTGAAGAGTTACCAAATTTTAACCAACCCCTATTTTATTTATTACATGGATCCAAAGGTGAAGACAGACACTCCAAATTTGGTAACCATCATCCATCTTGTTTAACTAAGGACAAATTTAATCTTCATTGGACATTTAATCAGCCTAGCCTAATAGGCCCAATTAACTTAACTCATCAAGATATTTTAAATTGAACTTTTATTCAAAATTTAATCTTCAAATTCTATTTTATTTCATTAAATTCAGTGAAACTATCTGGAATCTTTCTTTGGACATTAACATTATTATATTAATAGCATCACGAACCTAGTATTTCAGAATAATAACTAAATTAAATTATTTGCATTTTAAAGAAGCCTAATATATCATTCGAACCGGCACGACCACCCCTCCCTGAAATTAAGAGCTCATATTTAAATATTATTTAGTACTTTAGAAGAAACCAACCCAGTATAAGCCTAGAATCTTTTCATCCACTTTGGAACCCCCACCATTTTGAAAATTTACCATTGTTAACTTACCCTGTAGCTAATTCAACCAATAACTTATCTTATATTTGTATTTCATTAATAAATTTTATATTGTAACTTACCAAATCTATTTATTCTTAAAATAATTCATATATTATAAGATTAAGATAAAGACTTACCTTATTAGACAGAAATAAAACACAAATTAGGAATTATCTTTATTAAGAAAGAAATGACTTTGAGTTCAATGTGGGCTAACTTAATAGCCAAAGGAATTTTGTAGGCCTAAGTTAATGAAAAGTCTATAGAAAGCTTTATGGTGCGTAGCAACACTATGATGTTTTTCTGTATTACATGCGTTAAATTGGTGGCTGAAAGTTACGTTTTGCTGGCCATGCCAACTGTCATCGTAATTTGGGGACCGACCTTGTTATTACATCCCGGGGCCGCAAAATCAGCTGTCCGCTTGCATACGCTTATTCTACGCGTAACGGGATGAGTGAACGTGAGCGCAACAATTGAAA